GTTTTTTCCTTCCCCCCCTGCCACTGGCTCGCGCTGCTTGAATGTCTCAGCCGAAAGATGTACCTTGGGAGCACGGTGGCTGGCCAAAGTCCTCCGCATGGTGTTTGTAGCATAAGGCTGGAGTGCTGTCTACTGAAAAAAGATACTCTAAAAACTAGTTTTGTGTAGTGCTTAACAGTTTCTAATAAATTCTTTTCACTAAGCTGCCAGTAGTCCGTGTTTGGTCTTCAGTGATTCTGGCTCAAGTGGTTGAATTCAGAAAGCAAGGCAATTACTTCTGCAGGTACGCGCATTTAATCTTGTTCTGCGTTGTCTGGGCTCCCCCCCTCCTGTGCGCCTATTTTGGTTTTCAGTGAGTCTGTCCTCTCTCTCTCTGGCCTTGAATGTTTCCAGGGATGGGGCCTCCTGTCTGCACCTGCCCCAAGCTGGAAAAGCCCAAATGCGCAAGGCAAAACGTCCATTCCCTGCGAGCGCTGCCGTGGGGCTCCAGGCACTGGGTCTTGCAGAACGGCAGGGGCTCGGTGCGCGTCGTGATCTGCTGCGTGGCCCACACAAGGGCAACGCTCAGACCACCCAGGCCGTGTACTGGTCGAAACAGGGGCCTCCCTGAAGTAGCCCGTGGGGCGTTTAGCAGGGGAGAGCCTGCCTTCCTGGGCAGCTACGTTCTGGGCGTCGTGTCACGTCCTAGGATGAGCCCTGCTGTGCTTCCACGAGGTGCCTCCATGGGCAGCGTGGACACAGGCCCTGCCAGAGCCTGCTGTCCTTCCCGTGGCTGCGCTGCGGGAATCAAAGCAGCTGCGTTGGATGTGGGCAGCAACATCCCGGGTGGGGAGGGATGCTCTTACCCTGTGTCACCCAGCACACCCTGACACTGCTCGGGCGGGGTCTTGGTTCTGTCTTTAGTAAAGGGGCTCCAACAGGCGGGCACGTGGTCTTCGGAACCAGCACACCAGTTTGAAGAGCAAGGGTAGAAATTAAGGTCAAGGCTGAAGGGGCTCAGTGAGGACATTCCCTGGGGAGAGGGCGGCTCAGAGGTGGCAGTTCCTTGAGGCCACGTCTTCAGAAGGAAGAGGAGCACCTGGAGGCAGGTCCTGCAGCTGCAGTCACGTGGAGAAGCTGGGCTAGTGTGACCTAAGGGTTGGGCTGGTTATGGTGAGTACGACGTTACCGCAAGTAGATCAAGATCCAGTTAAATCACTGCATGGGAGGCAGAGGGAAGACATGCTGAAAGACAGGATTTCCAAGAAAAGACCGTCTTGAAGAGGGATGTAATTTAAACCAACCAGCTGCAATCAATTAAAAAGTTATTGCCCAAGTTGTAAGCCAGTCTTATTTCCAGGTGCCTGCCTGGGGGCATGGACCTTTTCAAGCATCCCAACCATTCAACCACCCGTCCTCTCCAGCTGCAAAAAGGGTTTCAGTACCTCTGCCTGGCTACATCCACTCCCCTCTCAGCCTCCACCTGCACCGTGCCGCGCTCAGGCCACACAGTCCTCCGTTTTTGCACAGGCGAGGATCTCGATCTGTCCCCCGCGGGCAGGCGCAGGCAGTAGCTGAGGCATTCCGTGCACGGCTGGCGTGGCAGGAGAGGCGGACCCCTCAGCACGCGCCCGCTGCACCACGCAAAGCGGGGAGGAGGGGTCGCGCATCCCAGATCCCAGCGGTGTCGGCCCTGGGGACAGACGGCGGGGACAGAGGTAGTTCGTTAGTCAGAAGCTGTAATTTTTGGTGCGCAAGCACCATCGGGGCCTGGTTTGTGCAGCTAAAGCCTTTCTGGATCCCACCTCTGCAAGCGGCGCCTTGGAATCTTCACTTGGTTTTGCTGTGGAGATCGCTCTGCTGCCAAAACAGGGTCTGGGGTTTTCCCCCCTGAAAGCCCCATCTGGAGTAGCGTAGTACACGAGCCTGCGAGACAGACATGTCGTGGAGCCCAAAGGTGGGCGTACACCGCTTGGATTACAGTCACGGAACTGTGCTGGCAGCACGTTTCATCATTGCTGTTACAATATTGATGTTAATCAATACTTTATAAAATGTAGAGCCAAGAGTAAGGACAATAAAGTAGACAGATAGCCAGTTTTGGTAATTAAAGAGTACTTAGTAGGCACAGTAGCTCTCAAAACAATAGAGCATCTATGAAGATTTTTTAAAAATAAAGAAGTCACTAACCTAGAGATGAAAACAAACCTAAAAGCACAAGTAACTACGTGTGTAAAAGGAGCTGAAGCTGTAAGAAGGCAGAGGCTGGGCTGTGGAACTCTAGGTAAACTTGACACTTGCTTTTGCGGTGCTCCTCCCTCACACCTCCCAGACACCCCTCACCTGCAGCGAGCTTTCAGAATCACAGAATGGTAGGAGTTGGAAGGGACCTCTGTGGGTCACCTAGTCCAACCCTCCTGCCGAAGCAGGGTCACCTACAGCAGGCTGCACAGG